AAAAGAAAGAAAGAAAAAAAAAAGTGATTCTGAAAGTTTCTTTGGAGAGACTATCACAGGATGACAGGTCTGCGGATGTTAAGAGATCCCCCCAGACCAACTGTGAGACTTGGTAAAATGGCTCTTGCATCTCTGACTCACTAGAGGACCTCAACAGTGTCAGGTCCCGCAAGAAATTCCTTTCCCCCTAGACAAAAGCCAGCATTCCCTAGGGGGCCTGAGGATAGTTCGTACTTGCTAAGAGGAGTCATTCTCCTATCTCTGGGAAAAGGGATGGGTGGCTCTTCCATTAACTAACGACTGTGGTGTTCCATTATCTAGTCAAAGTCCCATATAACCCAGGAGATAAATCCCCATTGCCACCCCAGCCCGCGCGGCGCTTCTCTCGGTCTTCCCGAGAGACAGCTTTGGCAGTTTGGAACAAACTTTTTCCTTTTTCATCCACGGAGTGGCTATTTGGGTTTCTTCGCCATTTCATTCAAGAAGTCCAGTCCAGACGTCTCGGACGTCCCTGGAGACTTCCTGAGATTCTCTGGCCTTGCCAGCCCAGGCGGCGGCGCCTCAAACCCCAACACTACCCGAGGGAACCTGGGCTCGCTCCAGGAACCCGCCACCCCTGCCAACCCAGCCCGCGAGGCCGGCCCAGAAAGGCTCCGGGGCCGCGCATGCGGACTCGGCGGCCGCAGCCCGGCCTCCCCAGCCTCTTCCTCCCCGGCGCTCGGCGGCGGTTTGGAGCCCGCTGACAGCTCCACGACCAGCGGACGCAGCCTCGTCTAGTGCTTCCACGTTACCCTATCAGAGGCGGGGCGGGGCGTCAGCCTCCACGGCCAATCAGAGCCAACCACGACCCAGGCGAGCTGGGCCGCCCTGTGGCCAGGAGGAAGCCGATTGGACCACGGCGGCGCCCGGGCGTGGTGTCCGCGGGCCCCGCCCACCGCTGTTTTCCGCCTCCGGGCGCCAGCCGCGGCCGAGGCCCGATCGCGGACCGACTGAGCGGACGGCGGGCGCTTCGCTGCGGGCTGTTGGCCGCGCGGGCTGCTGGGCCACGCACCTTCCTGCTCTTCGGCTCAGGCGTCCTTGGACATGGTGGCCCCCGGCTCGGTGGGCAGCCGGCTGGGCGCGGTGTTCCCGTTCCTACTGGTCCTGGTGGACCTGCAGTACGAAGGTGAGTCCCGCCCTGTTCCCGGGGCGGGCTTCGGGACCTAGTCCCAGCCGGGAGCGGCGCTCCGGGGCGCGAGGCTGGGTCCCAGCCCGGTTCCGGTTCCGTGTGCTGAGAGGAGGGACTGGCGGGCCGCGAGGCCGGGACGGCGGCCTGGGCCAGCGCAGCCGGGAGTCCGGCGTCCGGAGGACGCTGGATCGCGGGTGCCGGGAGGAGGCGATAACAGCGGCACGCACGGGACGGGTCCCGGTTCAGGAGTGGCCGGCGAGGGCCGTTCTTGAAGCCAGTACCATCCCCTCACGACCCCGCGTCGGGCGCGCAACTTAGGCTGGTGCCTGGAGAAGTCCCCCTGGGCTTGGAGCTCCCAGTGCCTAACTTGCTGGGCTGTCTGTGACTTTACAGTTCCCAGCAAGGCGTCCTTCAACTTTCCCTCCCCCCAACCCCCCATGGTGCTACTTTTTCTAGTCATCGCAGAAAAGGTCTCCTTAAAAAAAAAAAAAAAAAAAAGGGAGCGCTTAGGTTTCACCCTGGCCTCCAGACTGGAATGTTGGTTACTCCCAACAGAATAGCAAAAAATAAGAGGCCTGTCCTTATCTTGGGTGTCAGAGCGGGGAGGAGTTAACCATTGAAGCCCCAAGTGCCCATTGAACAACACTTCCCAACTTGGCTACTGTGCTGTAGTACTGTCCTGTTGTACTCATTCCTGTAAGTCCAGAGTAGTTGTCAAGGAAAGAGTAAACAATTGAATATTCCATTTGGAGGCATCGAGGAAATTGGGAATAGTTTATGATGAAGCCTTCATAAAAGTGTGTGTGGGTTTCTTTCTTTCTTTCTCTCTCTCTCTCTTTCTTTTTTTTTTGTCATACGCTTAGGTTTTTACATCTCCGTTAAAGGTATGACTTTTGTTGGTTTTGGCTTCCTGATCACCATACGTTCTTTGAACCCCATGTCAGAGTTTGTACTGTGACAATATCGAGACCAATAATTTGAGGTTGGAGTCAGCCTCAAAAATGAGGAGATTGGAATTTGAAGGCCTGGACCACTTTAATATGGGTCATATGTTCTAATTTTCTTTCATTTTCTAATTCTTTCCATCTGCATTGATCATGCCCAGTTATCATTAACCACTTATTTTGGATACTTAAGAGAAAGTTATCTGTGCTATGTTTAGTGCCAGTTTAATTCATTTTCCAGATATAGAAGTGCTTATTTTTGTTTGCCTTTTGCTTTCCAGTAGCTTGCAGATCAAGCACGTTATTCGAGTTTCCGTTCTTTGTAGATTAAGGCTTTTAGCATTTCAGTGTTCTACTGTGGTATTTCTATAAAGAGACTCTGAGTTTTCCTGTCTGGAAGATACTAGTGGCACTAATGGCACCTCTCAGGGGAAAGCCAGGGTTCCCTTTTCCAAGTGTATCACCTGTGCAAAATGGCAGGTGACGGAGAAGAAAAGAGCATCTCTGTTAGCCATCTCTTGTTCCACAGAGATATGTGATAGTCTCTGTTGTACACATCTCGGAACTGTGGGGCTAGAGACGTGGTTAGTGTCCTCGCTCGTCCTGCAGAAGACTGGAGCTGCATTCCCAGTACTAGATCAGGCTACTGGGAGTTAGCTGTAATTCCAACTCCAGCTCTGTGCGCACACAGAGTAAATAAAATCTTTAAAATAAAATCTACCTCTGTATGAAGTGGGAACAGGACATTGTTGATAGCACCTATTTCAAGCATTCTAAAGTCGGGCAGCTGAGCAAAATCAGCATTTTAAGTTACCAATAGAAAGTGACAGGGAGGTGATTTCCTGGCAGGTTGGTACAGTGGTTCTTCCCAAGTGTGCTGGCTCATCCCTGTGATGTCCGCACTCAAGATGCTAAGGTAGGAGGATTGTCATTAGAGACCAGCCTGAGTTATACCATGAGTTCTAGGCCAGTCTGAGCTAAGGTATGATACTTTGTCTAAAACCAAGTGAACAGAAAACTAAAACCAAACAACCCAAAACCAAACACCCCCCCCCCCAAACAAAACAAAAACCCCCAGATCCCAGAACATGCTTTTCTTCCCCAAACGGTGGCTCTCCAGCTTAATTGTACATCAGAGTCTCACATAGAGCTCTTTTAAGAGTTCTAGGCACACTTACAGAACTTCGGATTTAGTAGGTCTTGATGGAAAGTGAAATTTGCATTTCTAAAAGGATCCCAGATGACCACATTCTGAGAATCACCGGTGTAATGAATTCCATGTAGGAATTGGATTGGGGTATGCTATTCATTAGGCCCTAGACTTGATCATGGGGTCATCAAGATATAAAGTAGCAAATTATTAGCTTAGGTTTTCTGAGGTAGCTTAGTTATGTCTGGGTCGTTAGCCTCGGCCTTGAGGAGTCTTGCAGGTCAGGTGAGGGAGAGTTACATGAGGGCGGGAGATGTGAGGCACAGTTTCATACTGTAGAAAATGTATCGGTATGCCTGACTGGTCTGACTTAAAAGTACCCCTGTAGCCTAGGCTTCTGTGTTGTACTCCAGAAGAGGGGCGCACATCACTGAGCCTTCCAGCTCCCTTCCTCGGAGGCTGTGAGGGAAAGCTGGAGTGGGAGAGATGGCTCCCTGTGTAAGAGGCTGCTGCCCTTGGAGAGGGTGTGAGCTCAGCCGCCAGAATCACAATCAAAGCCAACTCCAGGGAGCTGAGATGCTGGGGTACATACACTCTCTCACACTACCCAGAGACACACGTAAAATTCAAACATAAAAAGAAATCTTTAGCATTCTCACATTACAAATAAGGTTCTTACATGGATTGCTATTGGCTTGGTTAGCGACTTGAGTGTGAATACAGACTAAAAACCACTTTGTTGTCATAGTTTCCATTTTGTCTTGATGTATATCACATTTCCTGTTCTCACATAGATCTCTCTTGTTTTCTCTCTCCAGCCTTAAGTGTAGTGTGGCACCACCTGACATGCATGACTCCTCAAAACTAAGGTTAATGAACCCAGATATAACTAACCCCACCCCTACTTCCCGCCCCCAGGGGCTCACTGTATAGCCCTGGCTGTCCTAGAACTCACTCTGTAGACCAGGCTGGCCTCTAGCTCAGAAATCCACCTGCCTCTGCCTCCCAAGTGCTGGGATTCAAGGTGTGCGCCACCACCGCCTGGCTGATGCATTTTATTTAAACAGATAAACTAACAGTACATTTTACCTTTTGTGTGATTTCTTTGGTAGTAGTCAAATATGAAGAGAAAACTTTATTATTATTTTTTTCTTTTTCTTTTTCTTTTCTTTCTTTATTTTTTTTGTTTATGTAATCAGATGGCTGGATAACTTCCTAAAACTATTTTGACTATTGAGCAAGGTAGATTATGAGGTAGATTAGCAGCAGGGTCATCCGTTTAGTTTGTCTCACCAGCTAGTGTCTGTTGAGAGAATGGCTGGGACTTGGGTTGCCTCAGTCCTGTGGGACAGGCTGGTTCTAGGATGAGATGCTCTGGAGCAAGGATGTTTTATTTCTCATGTGAAGTTAATGGCGGCTAAGTTCAGCTTCTACTGTTACGATCTCCGTTTAACTAATCGATTGGGGGTTGTGCGTGTGTCTGTGCGTGTGTCTGTGTGTGCGTGTGTCTGTGTGTGTGTCTCTGTGTGTGTGTGTCTCTGTGCGTGTGTCTGTGTGTGTGTCTCTGTGCGTGTGTCTGTGTGTGTGTGTCTCTGTGTGCGTGTGTCTGTGTGTGTCTCTGTGTGTGTGTCTGTGCGTGTGTCTCTGTGTGTGTGTGTCTGTGTGCGTGTGTCTGTGTGTGTGTGTCTCTGTGTGCGTGTGTCTGTGTGTGTGTGCGTGTGTCTGTGTGTGCGTGTGTCTGTGTGTGTGTCTCTGTGTGTGTGTCTCTGTGTGCGTGTGTCTGTGTGTGTGTCTGTGTGTGTCTCTGTGTGTGTGTGTCTGTGTGTGTGTGTCTGTGTGTGTGTCTCTGTGTGTGTGTGTCTGTGTGTGTGTCTGTGTGTGTGTGTCTGTGCGTGTGTCTCTGTGTGTGTGTGTCTGTGTGTGTGTGTTGTTTTGAGACAAGGTCTCACTCTTCAGCCCAGGCTCGTCTGCACGGACTCTGGAATTTGATATGTATATCAGACTGGGCTCAGACTTGCCGTGCTCCTCTCCCCTCTGCCTTCTGGCTGTTGGCATTGCAGGCTTGCCCACCACATCTGCTTTCTTTTTATTTACTAATGAACAATATAATTTTGCTTACATAGAAATTCCCTGGAACCCAGACACCTGCCCTTCATACTCAATCCTTTATTTTTCAACTTTAAATTTATTTGCTTTATGTATCTTTAGAAAGTAGCTCTCAACATTGATAAATACGATGGGCTAGTCGCTTGGAGTTTTGGAATATAAAAAAGACTCACATGTCAGTGAAGGTTAAGCTGTGTGGTGCTGTGGTGAGGTATACAGAGGAAATGTGTTGTCTTAGAACTGACAGGAGGGAACGGAAGACAGGCGGTGAAGCAGCCTCCTTAGCTTCTATCCATTGCCTTCAAGCGTCGAGGGCCGTCAAGGGCCGTCATGGCAGCCCCGTCATGACAAATGTGCTCTATGCTTCTCTGCTCTTGTAGTTTTTGGCTTTCCTTACCTGGCAGACCCCCAGTCCATTAGATTCAGGTTTGCTGTATGTACCTAAGGGATAAACACAGACGGAGAAAACGCCTATATTGTTAGTCTCATTCTGAAAGCAGAGTCTCAGTTTCAGCTGCACCCTCAGTGTTGCTCGTACTATATAGTTCTTCAGTGTGTCTGTTCTTGAAAGACAGTTACTTTAAAACCTTTCCCTTAAATATCCAAGTCCAGTTTAAATCCCCTTCTCTTACGCCCTCATCTTAGTCTTTTTTTTTTTTTTTTGGATGGGATTTCATTGTGTTGCCTTGGCTGTCCTGGAGCTCTGTAGACCAGGCTGCCTCTCTGCCTCCCGAGTGCTGAGATGAAAGTCATTAAAGTTGTAAGTCACCACCCACTGGCTTTGTTCATTCTTAACA